GGTCGGCCGCCGCCGCCGCCGCCGCCTCCGCGCGGAACCGCCCGCGCGCTGCTCCCACGCGTCGCCTGGGGCTGGACCGCGCCCGCGCCGTGGCGGCTGGGCTGTGCGCCTGCGGCTGGTGGCTGCGCCGCCGGTGCGCGGCCTGTGTGCTGGGCCCGCTCCGCTGCTGCGCTGCCTGCTGCAGCTGCTTGCCGCCTAGCCGCCGCCGGCCGGCCTTCCGCGTGGCTGGCACGCTGCTGCGCTGCTGGCAGCGATCCGCGTGAAGAGTCCGCGGATCGGCGCGATTTTCGTGAGTCGGTTCGCTGCCACCGACTTAGGTGGGGCCCACTCGTGTAAGAGGCCTTTTTTTGCTATTTGGGTCCAAAAAATTCCGTTATGGGTTGTTGCTGAACTCTTTGACCGTGTACTGTTCGTTGGTCATTTGAAGGCCTTAATGATGTCGGAATTCAATGATCTTGGGCTCGTCGGATTCGTCTCGTCGAGCCGTTCGATTCGAGTATAAGCTCGTCAAAATCGGAGACCGTTTGGTAACTCAAATTGCGGTTTGAACCTTCCAACAGCGCTTTGAACCCTTGATTCAGACTCATTTGGGCTCGGATTGGGTTGATCTTGGAATCGTTGGGTTTGTATTTTCGAGACGCTCAGTTTGACTATAAGCTCGCTGAAATCGGAGTTCATATGCTCCCAAAATTAATTTTTGAAGTTTCCGAACTGATTTTGCCTCGAGATTCGTGCCCAATCAAGATAATTTTGTGATGACGTATCAATGCTGTATTCATTTTGAATGTTCGCTTTCGTTATATTTAGAGGGTATGAATGCTGGATATTTGATTTCGTTCACTCGATTTGAATTTTGACCGTCCGTGTCTCATAATTACTTGAGCATTAGATGCTGAAATAATCTATTGTAACTATCGGATATAGCTTCCTTAATTTAAGGTTTTGTTTGAGATAGTTTTCTTATTGTTTAATGAAATAAATTTTTTATACAATTTTTTTTTATTTGAAATTTTTATACAGAAAAATTATTTATAAAATAGTAAGAAGACTTGTCCCAAACAAAATCTTTATATATTACCACTATTTTGGATGCTATACATTTTTTCTTTTGCTGGATTTCGAATGCTGTATTTTTAGATTTGACAGTTAGTTTGATGTTGGAGCCCAGAGATTTGCTTACCATTGTTTTCAATTTTGAAAGCCCATTTTGGAGAATTGCACCCTTTCGCTATTATTTTCAACTCCACTGTTGGTATTGAATGGTAGTTGGATACACATTTTGGAGATTTACAAATGGGCAATGATTATTAATTTAACTTGACTATCATTAACTTATTAATGGTGTGCATTTTATTGCTTGAGAAATAAATTCAAAATGTCCTCTATCGATGTTTTATGCATGTAAAAGAAATTTAAACTTGAGATTTAATTTATGCTTCTATATATTGAATAAATATTTTAGATGTGATCTACTTGAAAAAGCATGGTAATTGATAAAATATTTTGTTAATAACTTCACAATTTACACAACTTTTAAATTTATTTCATTTTATAATATGAATTAAAAGGCCTTGCAATTACTCAGTTCATTGTCACATGAAGCTGGTGACTAGAGAGTATCTATCAAAATTTAGTGTTGACTGTAATTTTGCAACATATTTATAACTTTTTTTTTTTTTTAAGAAATGCTAGAAGCAATATTGTTAAAAGAAGTCAAGAACAAAACGGACTATGACAAGGAACACTTGTCACATTTCTCCTTTAACAAGTTAAAGAATATAGGAGGAACCTTATTGCAATCTAAACTATCCCAAATGAAATCATCATCAATAGCAATGTTAGCACAACAATCCGCTAACTTATTGCACTCCCTATTCACAACTTGAATAATAATTTAATTAAAATTTCTTAAGAAGAAAAATTCACCTTGAATGGTTCCATCTTTATAGAAATCCTTTTTGCAAAGCAATTCCTTCACAAACTTCATGACATTGAAGTTATCTCCTTCTATGATAATGCCTTTTGCTTCATACATCCAATCTTGAATAATCTTCCTCAAAGATAGAATTGCTTCCAGCTCCAAAACCGAAGAATCCCAGTGAATGGCTTTAAATCCAAAGGCAAATAAAAATCTACCTTTACAGTCTCTTATGATTCCGCCAATTCCAAATTTATAAGAACTATGAAGAGCAGCATCAACATTAAATTTAATCCAATTGGTTGGAGGGGGATTCCAAGTAGTTGAATTCAGCCTAAGCCGATTAGAATCCCAGTTGACCGACTTTAGATTAAAGGAATTAGAAGAAGAGGCCAAACTGATTGCATTAGCTGCTATAAAATTGACACTATCTTCTTTGCTATCGTGTATCAATTTGCTCCTGCTTTTCCAAGTATAAAATACCACTGTACAATATAAATTACCCATAAAAGGGTTAGATTTGGATATAAAGAGCAATTCCTTATAGCATATATCTAGGCTGGAGAAAACCGGTAAATTATATCCCCACTTATTAATATTTTCAATAACTTTGTGAAGGAAGGAACATTGGACTGCTATATGTTCAACATTTTCCACATTACCACAACCTCTTGGACAACCATTGTAGTTAATAAGTCTTCTATACATCAAGAACTCATTAGAATGAATAGCATTATGATTTAGTCTCCACCAAAACAATTCCACTCTTCGGCTTAATTTAAGGTCTCTTAACCATTTCCAGTAAATGTCTTCAACTTCATTGTTACTGCATTGTTCTGTAATCATGCCTGAAATTGTTTTACCCGAGATTTTGAACAATAACTCCCTCATATCTGCTGCAGTCTCTTTGTGAATGGGGATATTGATGATCAATTTAACAAGTTCTTCACCAAAAACTTGTTTTAATTTCAAAATGTCCCAGCAACCATCTTGGAAAAAAGCATTTAGTGTACTTTGATCATCTTTAAATTCTGCCACAAACGTTGGCCAAAGCTCAATGCTTTTTGTTTAATAACCAGATATCCTTAGACGTGTTCACTTTATTGACATTTTCTATTTTCCACCTGATAATTTTCTTCAAGGATTTAGCTCCATTTATGAAGATCTTCCAAGTTGAAGATCTTCCATAAGAGTTATCTGAATTCCAGAAATCTTCACTGTATTTTGCAATATGATTTCTATTCAACAACGAGTTCAGTTTTGAAATAAGGTTCCAAACAAATTTAGCCCTCCACAGACCAATTTTTTCTACTGCAGATATCACTCCTTGTCCTCCCCATCTTCTTTTCTTGCATAACATTCCCCAATCAACATAATGAAGACCTTTGCTTTTGTCAAATTTCCTCCACATAAAATCTCTACTCAATTTATCTAAGTCATTTAGAACTCCCATTGGTACTAAAGAGTGAGTAGAAATGAAAATTGGTAGAGTTAAAAGAGCTGATTTGATGAGAAGAATCTTACCAAATAAAGATAAAGATCGATTACTCCATTTACATAATTTTTCCAAAGCTTTTTCAATCAAATACTGAAAACCAGTCTTTGAAAGTCTTCTCAAATCCATTTTTACTCCCAGATAATTCAGTTCCTTTACTTCTTTAAAGCCCAAGACTTTAGTGAGAGATTTGGATCTACATTTTCCAACTGATTTCCGAAACAGAATAGACGATTTCTGTGCATTTACCTTTTGACCCGTCCATCTGCTATAGTTCTTCAATATCTTCAAAATCGATTTGGTACATTTATAGTTAGCTTCAAAAAAGAAGATAGAATCATCTACATATTGCAAATGATTAATTTTTTCCCCAACTGTAGCAATTTTGATGCCAAAATTATTGACTTTTTTGTTGAAAGCTTCACTTAAAATCTGGGAACAGAGGATGAACAAAATCGGAGACAATGGGCAGCCTTGCCTAAAACCGCATTTTGCTTCAATAAATTCTATATAATTGCCATTGATAATAATAGTGTAATTCGTACCAATTACACATTGAATTAAGTAGTTTGAGAATTTCCAAGGAAACCCAAGTAAATTTAAAACTTGCTTCAAAGTTTCCCATCCCATACAATCATAGGCTTGCTCCATATCCACTTTGATAGCCATTAATCCTTTTTTTGCTTTAGAGAATCTAAATTTATTAAAGATCTATTGGGAAAGCAAAATATTATCAGAAATTGATCTACCTTTAACAAAGGCTACTTGATTTTTAGAAATCAATTTAGGAATAAAGACCATCATTCTATTCAATAACAACCTTGCTACAATCTTGTAAAAAGATTTGCATAGGCTTATTGGTCTCTATAATTTGAAGGAATAATGGGTTTCTTCAATTTTGGAATAAGCACAATAGCAGTATCGTTCCAATCTTTGCTCATAACACCAGAATTAAAGAATTGACAAATAGCTTTCCACACCTCCTCTTTAATGATATTCCAATAACATTTAATAAAAGAATAAGAAAGGCCATCAAGTCCAGGAGCAATATTACCTTTCAATTGTCGGATAACAGACTCCAGCTCTTCTCTTGTGAAATCAGCCAATAGAAAGCTCCTGTCTTCATCTCCCAGAGTTTCCATGAATTCCGGCCAACCAGAAAGTTTACATCTTCTATATTTCCATTTCCCTTTAAAATGATCCAGCATAACTTCTTCAATTTTGCTTTGTTGATAAAATTGCTATTCTTCTTAGCTGTAGCAATCCCATGAAAATATTTAGAATTAGAATCACTTTCTTTCATCCATTTGACTTTAGCTCTTTGTCTCCACCAAGTGCCAAGTCTACCCAATGTAGAATTTAAATCTAAAACTTTAGATTTAAGAAGACAGATTTTTCCATCTGATAGGATACCATAATAAGCCTCTTTTTCTTGCAGTTTTAAGATCTCTTCCTTGAGTTCATCCTTGTGTTTATTCAAATTGGAATGTTTTGCTTTACTCCAGTAGAAAAGAGCCTTCAGAGCTCTTTTTGACTTCAGATTCAGAACTTGAACATCATCACCTCCTGCAGATTTTTTCCATGAGCTTGCCATTATAGAGTAAGATGCTAGAAAAGAGGCCCAAATTTCTTCAAATTGAATTTGTTTCTTCTTAATAAAACCTTTATTAAAGATTTTAATTACTATTGGACAATGATCAGAAGCTATTCTCCCCAAGTGACGAACCACAGTAGGTGGAATCATTGACAACGCAATAGAATTTAGAAGACACCGGTCTAATCTTTCTAAGATCCTTCCTCCTCCTTTCTTATTGTTACACCAAGAGAATTTTGGTCCGATAATACCAGTATCTTGGAAATCACACTTGCTCATAAACAAATTCATATCTTGGGGTCCTTGAGAGAACACAAACCTCTTGCCGCCTCTTTTTTCTTCTTGAGCTAACACACAGTTAAAATACCCTCCCATGATAAAAGGGAGATGTGTGTCTGAGAAAGATTCCAGAATTTCCCATAAATTCCTTCTTTTGTACACTTCTTTGCTTCCATAAACTGTTGCCACTAGCCATTCACCTTTGCTTGTACTTTTGAAAATACCCACTACCACTTGTGAAGAAGCATGAATCACGGAGAAAGACCAAAAGTTCTTTCCCAACAAATCAAAATGCCGCCTGACATTCCTTCAGCTGGAAGACTGAAATAATCCAAGTTAACTCCTATCAAGGAGTTGATTTCATTCCTGTCAATTAAAAAAATCTTGGTTTCTACTAAACCAAAAAGAAAAATATCAAATTCTTTAACAAATTCCCTCAACTAATGAGAGGCTTCTTTCTTTCTAGCCCCTCTACAATTCCAAAATGCAATGGAAGTCATTGGTGATTAAAAAATGGGATTGCTTCCATTTTTATTCATCTTGTTCAATTCACCTTTCCTTCTTTGAGAAATTATGTTATCCTTGCCCAATGATTTGAGTTCATTGTGAAGCTTCACCTTTGCTTTAACAGATTATGTATCTTCTTTTACTGGAGCTGAAACCTCAATTGGTTTATCTTCAGGTAATACTTCTCCTTCTTCAATTTCATTAGAAACATTTTCAGGAAAAACATCTTCTCCTTCACTACAAGAATTGAGGATGTTAAATTTGTTATTAACTTCTGTAGGTTTTTCTAAACAACCTAACTTCTCAAAAACAGGATTTGCATGATTAATGGCAGCCAACACAATATTCTCCTTTATCAATTCTGACTTCTCGCTGATAATTCCAGTTGAGTTATTTATATCAACTACTTTTACATGCACAGCTTCAATAATTGATTCTATATTAGAGACAGGATTAACAATAACTGAATGATCCACTTATGTTTCTTTATTAAGCTCTGTTTTCCTGATAAAAACTGATTTTGTTTTGTTGGGCTTGAAAGCATACTGATTGAACATTCCATTTTTAGGCAAGAATCTCCTTCTTTTGCTGTTCATGACCATTGTCCAAGGACCATAAGAATCCTTATTTCCATCTACCGGAGGAATAGCATTTGATTCAACCTCAACACTTTCTTTGACAGAATCTTTCATTGAGCTGGAGGAATTCACTTCCTTACAATCTTCCAAAAGATGTCCCACCTTACCACATTTAAAGCAAAATGTAGATACCTTCTCATATTCCAGTTTTTGAAAAAACCGACCACAAGATCCTTCCACCGAAACTCCTGAAGGGAATTGTTGATCTAGAGCCATGCGAATGCATATTCTAGCATACTCTCTTTTGCTCCACTGAAACATATTGCCGTCAATCCATAAAGGAAGGCCAACCATAGATGCTATTCTCGAAACATTTTCTTCATTCCAGCACATTAAAGGAAGGTGAGGGAACCTTACCTAAAATGGAGCAGTCAAACCTTTAAAGGATGAAGGGGAGAACATTGGGGACCATTTGTCTAATCCCACAATATGATCATTAACGTACCAAGGGCCTCCTTCTAGAATTTTTTCCATTCCTTCCATTTCATAAAAAGAACATAAAATCCATCCAAGTCCGATTGAAGTTATATGAAACTTCCTAATAAAATTCCATTGCCTCCTGAGTTCACTGGCAATCAAATTGAAAGGAAGACTCTTTCCAAAAACCATAACAACCAAAGATTTTTGGAGTTTTTCAGAATTCATTTTAATATTTGATTCATTGAGCAAAATGGCCTTCCCGTCTTCAGAAATATGAGAATCATCTTTAATGAAATTCACCTTGATGTTGGGTTTCCTGACCCAATGATTGGTAGTATGATCTTTGACTGATTTCAAATTTTCCTTTCCTTCTGCGGCAATATTGCAAACATCTGGGATATTTTCCTTAAGTTTCTCAGAAAAGGAGACGATATTCTCCTGAACCAGTGAATTGGCATTAACGTTGCAAAATTTGTTTACATAAATTTTCATCTCCGAAGATGAAGATGCTTCAATGTCATTGGATTTACTAAAAGGAGATTTAACTCCAATCAATTTTGGTGGATATTTAACAGAATCATAAATAGCCAAATCCTTTCCTTTCCCGATAACAGGAGGAGATTTCTGCTGAATAACCATTGAAGGTTCCTTGATCTGAATTCCACCATTGAAAGGCTTAAAATGAACAGAGGATTGATCAACTTGAGGGGACGAACTTCCAGGAGGTTTCCGGCAATCATCAGTGATCGCTATCGCCGCCACCAGCTATGACGAAAAGACCGCCAAAAAAGCGGGATTTTGAAATATTTGAAAAACCACAAATTTCCTTCAAAATTCTCCACGAGCTTCTCTCACTAGCTACTCTCTAATCGGAAAGACCACCAAACAAGTTGTTAGTTAAGTGATTTTTTATTGTATAATTTGAGTTAGATATTTTTATTGTAAGTATATATTTTTAATAATGATTATTATTTCTGTTTTGTTCTATTATTTTAGTGTAAATCTATACACAAAATTGTAAATTATTCTAATAATTTGAACAAATTTAAGATTAACGAGCAGAGCAAGCCTACTTTTATTAATATAAATCGATCATGAACATAATGAACAATGTAAAACAAAAATCCAAATTCAAATAAAGAAAATTTTGAACGAGCTAAACTTGAACATACAACCAGCTCTCAAACTGTGCTCATTTACACTCCTATACAAGTAAGAAGCAAATAATCATCCACAAATCCATTATTAGATCTAAATACAATGTTTTGACATATCACGTTTGTGAAAAAATGTGGATCAAAACTCTAATAGCATGATTTGGCTTCCTTATATCACAATCATCACATTCAATCATCATAAATTAAGCAAAAATCAGTGCTACTAGCAATCATATCTAAAAAAAAAAAAAACTGAGCATTTATAGTGTATTGTCAGTTTATTATCTCACCAATGATGTACAAAAAAAAAAATATCATCACTAATCATATCTACACTATAGTCAATTCATAAACAAATTAGCAAATTCAAAGCAATATTTCTAGTTTTAGCCAGTAGTTCTGGTGCTTGGCATACACATATTTTGAAATTTCCATGCAAAAACCATATTTTTCACCAAATTGCATCATGCCTTGTGAAAACAAGATTAAAAATCAATTTTAATTTTCCATAGTTTCCTTTACCGACCAGAAACCATTGTCACGATGACCAATCTTCTATTGCTCCACTGTTGGCTCATCTGTGGAAGAGCCAGTAGCCGGCCGAGCAGACAGCACCTTGTCTAAAGTTTGGTCTGGAACCTTAACTCCACTAGTTTCCATGTCAGCAACAATGGCAATGGCCGCATCTACTTCTCCAAGATCCAGGCAAAGTAAGATGATTTCATCGTACAATGGGCTGGTTCAGATTGGAAAGAAAAATAATTTACGAAAGGGCTTTATTAAATTAAATTCACTAGCAAAACATGAACAGTCAACCAAAGTATAAAGGAATCAAGAAAACTTCAATGTGTCAATTTCAAATTTGTGAAGCTGTTTATCATAGAATAAAATAAATGCACGATGATTTGTCCAATTTCTGTAAATTAGTTAACCAAGTTGCCATGCTATTATTTTTTATTCATAAAACAGTTTGAAGGCAGCCTCTCTGACTGTTAGACAATATTATTTTCATGCTCCTCTGGGGTTGTGCCGTTCTCGTCCCATAAAAGTTCACTAGGTTTGCAATTTTAATCCTAAATGGTGAAAACGAAAGGCCATTTCGATTTAGGCACTTAGTAGAAATAATTGACTATTAGACCCTAAGTTGCAATTTGACCGTTTTAGACCCCATTCATGGACAGCCATTTATTTTGTATAAAGAATTTTAAAAGAGGAGAAATTGTTCAACAGACAGCTCTACGTGTAGAATCCAATCACAATGTGACAAATGAGTTTGTGTGTCTGTGTGTGTATATATATATATATATATATATATAGTCAGAAAGCCCAAACCAAAACTTAAAAGATTATCTATTTTTTTCATAAATTTCAGCCTCTTCACAGGAACATAAAAAGGGAGCATTACAGTTGATTTCAGAATGCTACAAATTTCCATGTATATTAGAATTCTGCAATTTTCTACTATGAGAACCACTAGTGGAGTCGGGCATAATTTCATTTTTTTTTTCTCAGGCTTAAGGCCGCGTTTGTTTTTCATAATTTATGCCGTTTTCGTTTTGCATCCGTGGAAACAGTTCCTTTCCCTCGTTTGGTTAGCCTCCGTTTGTAAAATAACTTATCCAACTTCTCCGTATTAATACCGATCTCAAAAGTAAAAAAAGGCAGCAGTTAGCGTCCAATAACTGAGTTTTGAGAGGAATAAACCGAATTTACCCTGCACTTTCCCACGTCGCCCTCACGTCCCTCTTCAGCGATTTTCTCTTCCTCCTCATTTCTTCCTTCCCTGTTTTGCAGTGTCCTCCCCCATTTCTGCTCTAATTCGAACCGAACAGATTTGTCGACCTTGCTTCCACTTCAACCCTTCTCCATTTCGTCGATTCAAGGCAACAAACAGGTATGTCGACCTTCCTACTTAATTACTGTGCAAAAAAAATTCGTGGATACATTCGTATGAACAGAATCCTAAGTGTTCTCCATTAATCTTCCAAAAACTATGTCAACAGTACACATTTGTAAACAAATATTATTTTAATTATTTAATATCTGAGTTATCAGTTTAATTTAATAGTTGAGTTATTAGTTTAATTTAATACCAAATTACCATGTCAACACTACATTTAATACCTGAGTTATCAGTTTAATTTTGATGTCTAAACTAAAAATTTATAATTATCTTGCACAACTATAAAACAGAATTTCCTTCGTTTTAATTATATAAAAATATTTGTAAATTTTTATAATTTTTAGTATATATTTATTATGTATTTTTTATCTCTAAGATGTTGGAATATGTAGATGGCGAAACAAAGAGAATGTGGTCCACCTGCGACATGGGATATCAATAACACATTACTCTATTGTGACTTATGTATAGAAGAAATTGAATTGGGTAATAGACCTTCCACCCATTTCAATAAGGAAGGTTGGACAAACCTTATGACAAAATTTAATTCACGCACTGGACGATCGTATGATCGTACACAACTAAAGAATAAGTGGGATCATTTGAAGAAGGATTGGAAGTTGTGGAAAGAGTTGTTGCGTGGGGAGACTGGATTAGGGTGGAATCCAATAAAACGAACCATAGATGCTTCTAATGAATGGTGGAATGATAAAATATAGGTATTACTAAGTAAAAATTGTTGAAATACATTCATATCACATGATAATCTATGTAGGTTTAATACATAAATGTTTTCACCTATGTAGGTCATACCTGCAGCAAGAAAGTTTAGGTTCAACGGAATACCACCAGAACTCGAACAAAAACTTGAAATTATGTTCAGTCGCATTGTCGCAACTGGAAATAATGTATGGATTCCAAACTCTGGGGTTTTACCCTCCGAAGTAAGTAATGACCATCACAATTCATCCGAGGAAAAGGACTTCCAAGATGATGACCCACATACGGAAGTAGGTCACGAAGAAGATGCTATATTTCCAACAGCTTTCCAAAGATCTCAAACTTCAACCACATTACTAAAAAGGAAGAGAGTTAAACCAGTTAGGTTAGCAGGGAAGCAACTATTTCTAAATCATATTGAAAGTTTAGTTAAAGCTGTGGAATCAGTAAGCTCTACTATAGCAACCTCAACGTCACAGCGTAGAACTGTTAAAATACTTGATGCGGTCGCAGAGATATCAGCCATACCTGAAATATATGATGATTTGGAATTATATGCTTTTGCAATTGAGTACTTACAAGATAGAAATAGTAGAGAGAGTTTTATGGGAATCCCAAGTGAGCGAAAAGTTTGGTGGCTTCGAAGATGCTTCAACAAAAGTTCAAATTAGACTTCTATAGAAATATCTTTTATTTGGATATGTATTACCTTTTGTTCTTCTGTTCCGAATTAACAAATATTACCACATGTTTTTTTAATATGTTGATAACCTTATCAAAACCTATAAATTCTGTAACTTAGCATGATTACCTTTGTTTTTTTCATATGCATCTAAGTTATTTAAAAAAAAAATCGGACTTAACCATGAACAGTCTTCAGGCAAAGCAGTTTATAGTATTGATTGTCTCGTCTAGTTTAATTTTTCTGTAACTTAGCATGATTACCTTTGCGAATATTGATTGTCTCGTCGTGTTTCTTTTAAGTATGGACACGAACAGCTTCTGCTGAGTTTATATTTTCTCTCAATTACCCCAAATTTGAGCCGTATTTAATTTTTATTAAATAGGTAATGCAGACATTATGTAAGTAATACATCAAAGCTACTGAAAAAAAGAAATGATTCCTACAAGAATACGAATTGTTTTCTGATCTCTTCATTGCCAATTTACAGAAACAATAAGTATATAAAAAAATGATTCCTATAAGAATACAAATTGTTGGCCCATCAACTTGTAAGAAATTTATTTGTTATTGTTGCTGAATCAGTTATTTTCTCTATACAAACTACAATCATCAGATGTCAATAAAGATTGAATTGTTTGTAAATTTTGCTTTTTTTATGTAAACAGAAAACCAATGTCTTCCGATAGTGGAAACAGTTCAAATGATGAGCAAGAAGAAGAAGTATATTCAGATAACGAGAACAAGACAATTTTTCAATTTAATAATATAGTGTTAGGCTCAAGCTTTCTAATGTACGATTACTACTCATTGTACTTAAATAAAAAACCATGCATGAGGTCTAACCAAACTGGAGATAAATGGATAAGTGAGTTACTGCTCGGGCATCCAGTTAGATTTCACAATATTTTTAGAATGTCCCAGATTATTTTCAACGACTTGGTATGTTTGCTTGAAGAAAAACAGGACATATATGGATCACGCAGGACAAACATTAGAGAAGTTCTTGCAATAACTTTATTCATTTTAGGGAAAAATGAATCCATTCGATCAACATCCGAAAGATTCCAACATTCTACAGAAACAATAAGTAGATACTTTTGTGTTGGACTTGAAGCTTTATCAGGACTGTCATTGGAAATTATTTCACCTAAAGATAAGAAATTTTAGAATATTCCAGTGTAGATCCGAAGGGATATGAGGTATATGCCATATTTCAGAGATTGTATTGGGGCAATTGATGGAACTCATGTTGATGCAAGAATTCCTGTGGAAGATCAAATTCCTTTCATAGGACGGCATCATAAAACTACTCAAAATGTAATGGCTACTTGTGATTTCGACATGTGCTTTACATTTGTTTCAGCAGGATGGGAAGGTTCTGCACATGATGCTCGCATTTTTAAACATGCTGTGACAAATTCTAAATTTAATTTTCCAAAACCGCCAACAGGTATGTTTTATTCATCTATAAATAATGGAAGTTTTTTTTAAATATGTAATATTGTATGTATTAACTTATTGTAAATTTATGTACAGGTAAATATTACTTAGTTGATCCAGCTTATCCTCTGAAAAAAGGATATCTGAGGCCTTACCCAGATACATGATATCATTTAGCAGATTTTGCTCAAGGAAGTCAACCAATAAGGGGTTACAGGGAAGTATTCAATAAGAGACATTCCTCATTACGAAGTATCATTGAGCGTACATTTGGTGTGTGGAAAAAAAATGGAGAATTCTACATGATATGCCAAATTACGCGTTGAAGAAACAATATCAAATAGTTATAGGTACAATGGCATTGCATAATTTTATACGAAGACATAACTCACGGGTCGATCCTGATTTTGATGAGTATGAGAAGGATGAAAATTTTGATATTTCTGACTGTAGTCTAGACAGAGTGCCAAAATCAGGTGAAGAAAATGTTTGTGTTGAAGAACAGACTGATGGTGAAGGTGTTACTGAGATGAAAGAAGGTAGAGATAATATCGCGAAATAGTTGTACAACTTTAATAGGTAGTATAGTTATCTTAATATTTGTTTTCAAAATTTAATATTATAGAAAAATCGTGTTGTTTGTTTTCTTTAATTATTAATGATGAAGTATGTAAGGACTAATAATTTTTTTGTATATATATTTCAGGTGTGTAGATGAGATATGATGATGAAAATGTAGAAGTTGAAGAAGATAACCTTGACAAACCTTATGAAGGTTGAAGTTGCTTGTTAAATTTGTTAGAATTTGTGTTTGTGTGATTGAGAACAAAATGAGTTTTAAAAAATTAATGTTTTTTAAATGAATTAGTATATGATGTGTGGTTATATTAAAAAGTTGATTCTTATTTACTCAAACTAGATAGTTTAATGGTGTTCGTAATATTATCATATTTATAATAAGTATAATAGACATTGTAAAAAGTGTATTTCAAGAAAAAAAATATTTTAAAATGTTTTGTTAAACACATACTAAACAGAGAAATGAAGTAAATATATATATCATAGATGTTTGTGATATAGGAAGTTAAGTAGTTTCGAAGTGAAATATCAGATCTGGAGCCGAAAATATCATGTTGGGCAGAATTTCAGCATTTGAGATCCGGGTATAATTAATTAAAATAAGAGGATAATTTTGTCTTTTATCATTTCTAGAGTAGAGCGGAGAACTGAGATCCAGCGAATCCACCAAACAACTTCCCGTTGTTTTAAATAATTTTATTTTAAACTCCGTTTTTTTTACACTCCGCTTCTACCGAATTAAACAAACGGCGGGTGGTAGCCAAACGAGCCCTAAGACCGATATTGGGAGTTATAAAAATTTTGTTTATTAAATTTATTAGTTTAAAAAGATAGAATATTAGTTCAAAGCAATGTACAATTTAATCATTCTTATACATGAACTCTAACAAAAGTACTGTCGACCTATGTTATAAAAAAATAAAAGAATAATAGAATTAAAAAAATCGCCTAAATCATCACCTGTCTCTGCCGACGCCACCTGCTATAGTGTCCCCTATCCCTTGCAAACGACGCCATTTCAAAGCAGGATATGCATATATCATGCATTTGCCTCGATTGAACAACCCCCGTCGCGTTTAAAATGAGAATGGGCGAAGCTCTTATTTCCGGGACTTCGGCTCGCTCACGAGCCTTCCTCTTCTCACACGACACGCAAAACTCTTGCTAATCCTCCTCCATTCTGATCGGAGTCTCCATTTGAGCGATTTAAGAGCTTCCTCCCTACCTAGCCGCATCATCCTCCAAGCCAATCACCCCAGTCAGCGTCCTCTATCTCTTTCGGCGACGTTCCCTACTGTTGAATCGGAAGCTACAACATTTTGATTGCAAGCATTGATAGGAGCCTGGTCGCAGTGAAGGTAACGTCCTCCCTTCCTCACTTTTCTTCGGCTTCTTCGTGGTTATTCGACTTGACCTCCTTCGACGACATCCCTCTTGTCGGATCGGAAGCTACACACATTTGATCGGAAGCAATAAAGGGAGTTCGCTGTTTGTGAAGGTAATTTTTTCCCCCACACGTGCTTCTTCGGCCAAGTCCAATAAAGCTGGAACAATTATTACCTCCTCTGACCTGACGTAGAGGTACGTTCGGCCACCAATAACATGTCGCCACGTGCTTTTACTCTTTACCGCGCGGCCCGACGACTTGACCCGGAGCGGAACCCGGGAATGCTATGTTCGCGATTTTCTCGGTATTGCTCGGTATTTGCTCGGTATTGCTTTGCAAAAATGAGAAATACCGCTATGTGAACACAAAAAATATACAAATACCGAGTTGTACCGAGTTTTTCTACAACTCGGTACAACTCGATACTTTTGATCGGAGGTCACAACAGGGAGCTCGCCAGCCGTGAAGAACTTTCTCCCTTGCGTCGCTTCTCCGGCTCCTCTGTTGCTGATCGGCTTCGGCTCCTCCGTGGCAGTTCGACTTCGCTCACTTGGCGACTTTCCCTTCCTGTTGGAACTGAAGTTACGACATTTTGATCGGAAGCAACAATCGGGAGCTCGCTACTGTGGAGTTAACTTTCTCCCTCGCGCGCACTTCCACGGCCAAATCCCGTGATCAGCCAAACCAGAGGTGAGAAAGGGAGGATTAAGTTTTTTTTTTAATATAATTAATTTTATTTAATTATAATTAGTGTTAATTATGATCAAATTAATTAATTATGTTATATTTATTTCTTTTAAATTATTATTAATTATTAATTAATTAATTTAAGTTAATTAATATTAATTAATTATGATTAATTATTATATTTTTAAATTAAAATTAATTAATATTAATTAATTAAGATTATATATAATTAATTATTTTAATTAATTATAATAACTTTTAATTAATTATAATTAATTAAGAATAATTATAATTTTGTATTATAATTAATTATGATCAATCATAATTAATTATGATTAATTATAATTAAAAAATAGAGGAAATATAAATATTTGACCTCTTATGCCTCGATCCATATGCCAACACCACCGACACTTGCAAATGTATAATTCCTAAACTTTGAAACCCCGTTTCGACATTTGCAATGCGACGAATAACCACCTATACACGCCTTTCTCTAGCGTGGTGGGTGGGAATTAATTGCGATGCTTGTGACGAGATGGACAATCTCTTGAAACCTCATTTTCGACATTAGCAGCGCACCGAAAAACCAACTCATGCTCGCTTTTCTCTAGGTGGTGGGGAGGGAACTCAGTGCGACGCCTACGGCGAAGCGAAGTCATATATAAAACTGTGCATTTTAAACCAGTACCCAAAGACCCATGCACGCCTTTCTCTGGAGTGGTGGGGGACAAGGACTACGGCCGCGGTGTCCCACGACACCAACTCTAGCGTGGAGGGAAGCCCAGAATCCTAGAATTTCTCTTAAATGGGGGAGACGCCGGGAGGCTGCCAAAATTTTGGTTGAAGAATAGACCACACTTGAATTGATTGAAGAAATAGGACTTAAATGAACTCAAATTTAAAATAAGTTTGAACTTAAGTAAATAATGATGGACTTAATGTGAGCTTGAAAGAACTTAGATCCATATCAACGAATAAATAAGGGTCCAAAATTTGAACTAAGTGGGACTCGAGCTTGAACAACTAGAAAATGGACTTGAATCAAACTCAGCCAAGCAGAGCTTGATTTGAGCTTGGACATGAACTCAATTTGAACTTGGACTTGAACTCTACAAGACAACATGGGACTTGAATTCACAATTGATTTGAACTTCAGATGCGAGGGACAAGGACTTGGATCAATGTTGAATTATACAAGACTTGAATTTGTTTGGACCACGAAGAACTATGATTGAACTTAGACTCAACCTTGGACCAAGAGCTTGATTTGAAAGATGACACAAACAAGCTCAAATAAATCATAAATGACATAAATGAATCATAAGGAATAAATTTAACATGTCAAGCAATAAATCAGAATTTAATGTGACATGTACAGAGAGAAATGGAAAATATGAAGTATTGAATAATGATCTAAAATATTCAAATAATCATTAATGGATTAGCATCAAGTACCCACGTGTCATAACAAGCATTGTTGATCAACAAGAATGTACAACCTAAGTTGAAAATGGAGGCACAAGAATCTTCCATTGAGCATTACAAGTCATATGCAAGATGACTCATTTTACATTGAAAGTGAAAACCAAGTGATCATCAATAAGGAGCAAGGAGGATATGTAACTCGATTGCAAATAAACACTTGAACAAGCAAGCCGTACACGAATAATAGAGATAGGTGTATGGCATCTACATCGATCTTATCAAACAACAACGGATAGAACAAAATATTGTTGAGTAATATCAAGAGGTATATAATGAGAGATTCAGGAATGATATATAGTAAATGCAAGTACCTACGATCCCTTACAGTAGATCCGCTATATACACCACATGTCATTTGTGGACAAATACAAAATGGACTACAACAAACACAAGCTCCTGCAAATCATCGTAGGAGACTTGCCTTATGAACTAGATGCCATCTACGAGCAAAATGTCTAAAGACTACAACAAGTGCATCGACCACAAGGACACATGATAAGCATGATAAGTGTAATTTAATTTCAACTATTGTGGCCGTGTTGAATGCAAATCTTAACCGGAGAGATTAATTCCATATATTTCAAATGTCACCCAGATAACCAAAATTAAAAAATTTCAAGAATCATCCAAGTCTAGAATGTTTAAAATTGAAATTCAACCCATTAAACGCTTAAAGCAAAATCCATCCACACTCCACAATAGTTTGCCGGGTGGACAAATTAAAATTTACTTCAGCTCACATAGAGCTAATGCCTAGTCGAAAATATTACTAGGATCCATTCTCAAATAATTTCCTGCTAGTAAGGATGTGGTACGTGTATTCTAATCGACGGTTTCGCTGCCAAATGGCACCGCAGGATAAACGGGTATGACCCGGGGCCCTCTGAACCGAGTGGTTTTGCTACCAAATGGCACTACGAAATATCGGTTATAGCCAGAGCCAATATGCTCCTTACTAGCATCAAATCCTTGAGATATAAATCAATAGGATATGATCGATAGGGCACAAAGCCCTCTATTAGCTAAGGTGATTCAAATTTGTCCCCTTAGACAAAAATTCACCCCAGGTCTACAAGGTACCCTTGGACGAAGAAACCCATGGCTGTCGACAAGGATCTTTCTGTGAGGTTAGGTCGACTACCTCCTCTGCTAAGTAGACCAGGGATCACGATGGCCCAGGACGACGGAACCATGGGATCTTGATTAGGTCCATCATCTATTCCCCCATCATCCTCTTTAAGTGGAAGATGGTAAATTTTTTATTTTAAATGTCAATATTCCAAATCTCCAAACTATTCAAATACCTATGCACATGCTGCTAATACATGCTAGATAACATGTATCTCTATATATCTAATTGACGACTAGCCTTAATTGAAAGTTCTCTCTCGTTACCGGGAGGGATAATTAACTAGGCTTGTGCCTATAGGAAACCAGAACTCAGATCATAAAGTCCTTGCAAAATGAGGGCGAAATCTCTGGGTAGTCTTATCTACAAACTCATATGCCTTCCAATATTACCCCAGAACTTAATTCCGTTAAAACTCCCCCAAAGAAAAGTAACACGGGCGGAGCCGGGGCCGAATTTTCGGAGCCCACAAGTACAAAGCAAAATTTCAAAGAAAAAAAAAAGAAAAAGAAAAAGAAAAAGAAAGAAAGGATACACAAAGTTATTAAAGAAATCCCTTCCTAATCACGGTTTCCTCTCCAGAACATGCGTCGATTCATTTTTGGCAGATAGATCATGTGCCGAGCCATGAGAGTACAAGATGGAAGATGAGCAAAAAATTTAGAGTTGGCTGGGCTATTCAGCAAAAATACACAGAAATTTTTATTTTTTGGAATAAGGCGGGAGATCAAAATTAGAAATCATAGTTTTTTAGGGAGGTACGTCCCCCTCCCCTTACCCCATGAGAAAAATAAAGATCATTTGAAAAAAATTCCAAAAAAAAAAAGGAATGATGATCATTATGATGAAGGATGAAGATTGGCAAGCTTCTCCAATAAATTTGGTTGAATCCATTGCTTGGGTTTAAAACTATAAATTGAAATTTACCATCAATTCATCCCCTTTATTTTGTTTTACAAAATTTTCTGGCTTAATGGTATGCTTTGCTAGGGATGAAGGTTTGTTTCCCCTTGTAAAAGTTTTTTGAACCAATAATTTTCATTTTAGAAGCTTACGATACTTATTCTATTTAATAAGATGTACACAGTTTTTGAACTTGTGTATATAACAAGGTAATTTATTTTAGAATAAGTACACAAATATGTAAAAGCATTATAAACTTGAAGGAAGAGCAGACCGCAACTAAATATTTGTTTTGAGAACAAAGAGATTCATATTAAAACAAGCATGCAACTACGAACTGCACCCTAAACTCAAAGACGATCAGTAGAAAAATATGTACTTTTGTTTTACAACAAAGTAATTTATTTTAAAATAAGTACACAACTATGTACTATCTTCTAAATTGAATGAAAAAGCAGTACACAACTGTTCTATAGCAATATTTATGCTAGAAGAACTTCACAATTATTGTACTGCATTATAAACTCAGGAAGAGCAGCGCACATCAATATACTTGTGTTATACAGCAAGGTGATTCATACTTAAATAAATACACAGCTGTGTAATACCTTGTAAAGTCAAATGACGAGCAATACACAGTTATGTACCTTCATTTTACAACAAAGTGATTCATTCTAGAAGTGTTATCTTTTATATCTATATTAATGAATATATGCATGTTTACAAATGTATATGCATATATACCGAGTTAATTTTTAGTTGAATTGAATTAGTTTTGTAAAGGCCTTCCTCGAATAAAATCAAAACAATTTGAGGACAACTAAAATAAGAGAAATTATTGAGCAAATTTTAAGTTTCAGACACAACAATCAACTCTATCCGAATCATAGATGCTATAAAATATTGGCCCTTACAAAGAAGACATGAATAAATAACTAAAGTTTAACAGTATAATTGACTTTTTTTAGGCGGGGTGAGTGCTTGAACCCTACACACTAAGATTTGCATATTTTTTTTTTCAATCAGTGCACTATGAATTCAAGCGCATATTATTGACTTTTAGAAGACATAATATATATATTCAATGCCATCACAACCAATGTATTTCTTAGAATCTTACCTCCCAAAAGTAAAGCCAAGCTTATGAGTTTCTTGCAAAATTGTCAAGAATGCTGAGGGAAGGGGAGCTCTTAAAGCAGCGCGTAATATCATTGCACAGTCTCCAATGGTTGGCTTTCCACCTAATTCAATCACCTGAAATTTAACAAAGTACTTATAAAAAAAAACATTTTATATTCAGTTTCACTAAGGAAACATCGATGTGAAGTCTTCAAGAAACGTACAATCACTCATAATCGGGGATGAAAAACAAAGCAACCAAGCTATATATGGGTCAGAATAAAGATGTCAATTTGAGTGTGAACACATGATCCACAAACAAACAAACAAGTATGAAAGGCTGCTAAAAAATGCGTTAGACAAATTTCAAAGCACGAGAACTTCAGCAATTTGAAAAGTGACTCGCTGGTCTCCAGTTTCTCCACTAGAATTTTCTTATATTAAGCCGAACTTAGTTCATCTGTCACACTCAAATGTCACTTCAGGCAACCCTACCAAATAGACAACTAAGCGCAACTTGCAAGCGAAATATACAAAGTCAAAACACGGTGACTTATATTTAGGCACATGTTATCTTTATTGCGACCAAATTCAATCCTGTCTTGCTACTTAAAGGGATATCAAAACACTTTTGTCTTGATTTTATATTTTTTTATATATACGGTGAATCAAAACAACTTGAGCTTGGAGAACTGATATCAATATCTAATTCTATAAATGAGTTTGGAGAAACACGTTTCCTTTTCAAAATTATATAATCACAAAGTTGAAAGTAATGACCATACCACATTCTAAAATGAAAATTAAGGCCCTAACTAGCAAAGTGGCATCACCGTTATGAGTACTTGGTGTAAAATGAATCTGACAATTTAGCTAGCTTCTTGGCATTGACAATGGTATTCAGTTTGAATTTATCTCGTATCTTTCTTCTCTCAGCTTGATCAGGTCATAATTTCATATTAATCTCGACTAACTGTGTCATCTTGCACAATCTCACCACAGATCATTTTGCTTGGATTGGTTCCGAGAATGTCAATTAATGCATTATGCTAACCAACTGAATTACAAATTAATATGAAGCTAAGAAAACAAGTATAATCTGTTTATTTATAGCATTCACGGACAGAGAAGATGTTGCATGTGTTTAACCAAATCAATTACCAAAAAAATAACATACCGCATGAACTTGAAGTATACCAATTAAGCTGGTGACAGTGATCATAATGGAATAACGATGAAGTAGGGGGGGGGGGGGGGGGGGGGGTACTGGGCTAGACTGGGATAGAACTGAAATGAAAGTTACTGTGCAGCTAAGAAAATAAGTCTAATCTGCTTATTTATAACACCCAGTGATCGAAATGATGAAATCGGAGTTTTACACTTAAACCATATCAATAACCAAATAAATAATCAGAGTGCAATGCCTACCACATAACTTGGACTAAGGATACCAATTTAAGCTGATAAAGATGTAATAACAATGAAGTAAAGGGGGTATTGGGCTTAACCAGGCTAGTCTATTCTAAGTGAACTCAGTTCCCTAGCCAGCTCTGGCCAGCTGGCTTCACCTTCTGACCACTACATCAGATATTGGAGCTGGTTGACACAAGGTGGCAACATCAAGGAACAATGCTTAGGAAGGACATGGTAGTCAATGGTGCATTAAACTCTACTGTCACTGCTGCAATCTTTGTCATTGTTGACAACACCATCATGCTTGCTGCTGCAGGTGCCACCCCCATCTTTGGTGCTACAGTCAGAGCCAGTATTTTTGTTTCTTCTCATCTTCCTTACGTCCATCAAGCAGTCATTTTCTTCCCTCCATCGAGTGTCACCACCTCAAATATATTGCATGGAAAACAAAAATAACCTCCTATAAAATTACATAAACATCATATATTCAGCCATCCTTGGCATCTATAGCAAATCCAGAGATCAGGAGATAAGTTTAGGCGAGAGGAGATTCCTTCATGCCCATTAATTATTCTTCTCTAATCAACAATCAGCAAAAAATAAAAAAACATAATAACGACAAGCAAACTAAGAAAGATAATAATTTAATTCAATTAGAATTTAATCTTATGCTCTCCATATGGAATGAATAGTTTGGCTACTCTCTAGTAGGTCAGCATGTCTAAAAAACAGAACTTATTGCAACTGATAACCCTATTACTCTTATAGGCTTAGCTACCATTTCCCAAGAAGACTATCCTGTCTTCTTGGGGTGACGATTTCAGTTCATCAGTTAGGTTCAAAGCTATGGGAGAGATTTATGGAGCATAGGTTGTAGCGTGATAGTAATGTTTCTCATAATCAATTTGGATTCATGCCGGATAGGTCTACAATGAAGCTATATATTTATTGAGAGAATAAGCAGGATCTACATATGATATTTATTGATTTAGAGAAATCATATGATAAAGTTTTAAGAGAATTGTTATGGAGAGTTCTAAAAAAGAAAGGGGTTAATACTACCTATATTCAAGCCATTAAGGATATGTAAGTAGGAGCTATTATTTGTGTTCAAATACGTGGTGGTTTGACCAAGTATTTTCCTATTTTAGTTGGATTACGTCAAGGATCAACCTTAAACCCATATCTTTTTTTTTTAGTCATGGATGTTCTCACTAGACATTTACAAAAGGTTGCTTTTTGCTGATGATATTCTTCTTGAAGGAAAACTTGAATTATGGAAGTCAACTTTAGAGTCTAAAAGTTTTCATTTGAGTAGATCTGAAACTGATTATATGGAGTATAATTTTAATAGCAATAGATCTAATGAAGGGATTGTAATTATGGATGATCAAGTCATTAATAAGAGTACACATTTTAGATATTTTGGGTCTATTATTCAAAGTGATAGTGAAATATATGAGGATATTATTAGTAGAAACAATGTTGGATGGTTGAAGTAGAGAAATGCATCAGGCTTGTTGTGTGATAAAAAAGTCTCCTTCAAACTTAAGGGAAATTTCTATAAGATGGTGGTGAGACCTGCGATGCTTTATGGTGCAGAATGTTGGCCTTTAAAAGAGAAGCATAATATTAAGTTAAGTATTGCAGAGACGAGGATACTAAGATGGATGAGTGACTTTTCTCATAGAGAAATGATACAAAACTAGCAAATATGTGAAAAGGCTGGAGTAGCTCCAATGAAAGATAAGATTAGAGAGAGTTGCCTTAGATAGTTTGGTAACAAAAAACGGAGGCCTTCTGATGACCCGGTTAGGAGAGTAGATGTATTAGATTTAATTTATGTTAAGAAAGGTAGAGTCCTAATAAGACTTGGTTAGAAAATATTAGAAATAACATATCTTTATTAAATTTAAATAAGAATTTGACCCTTAACAGAACACAATAAAGGAGAAGAATTCATGAGTCAACCCCATATAGTGGGATAAAGACTTGATGTTATAGTCAGGTGTTGACCTGCTGTACAAAAAAAAAAAAGAAATAAAAAAAAATCCCTCAAATCCTCACCTGCTGTACACGATCCAGCGCCGCTCGTCGCACGTCGAGGCCATACCGAGCGTCGCGTCTCGCAGGTCGCTCGCACGACTCACTCGAGTCGTTAAAAGGCTCAAGGCAACGAGGCCTTCGGCCTCTGCTCTTCCTCCTCTCGCCTTTTCTCACGCACTCTTCCCCTCCGACCCCCTCTGCTCTATTCGACTTCGCTCAACCGACGACTTCCCTTCCTCTTGGATCGGGAGTCCGACATTTCGATCGAAAGCGCGAACGGGAGCTCGCCGGCTGTAAAGACAACTTCCTACCTTTCGATCGCTTCTTCGATCCTTCGTAGCTGGTCCGACCTTGCTCCTTCTGCGACTTTCCCTTCCATTCGGACCGGAAGTTACGACATTTTGATCGAAAGCCAGGGGAGCCCGCCGACTGTGAAGATAACTTCCTCCCTTTCGATTGCCTCTCCGACTCCTTCTGTGGCTGTTCGACTTTACTCCTTCGTCGACGTTCCCCTCCCCGATCGGAAGCCGCACGGGAGCTTACTGGCCGAAGGTAACTTTCTACCTTTCAGACGCTTCTTTGGCCAAATAAAAAAAAAAGAGTTTTTTTTATAATTATTGATTATAATAATTATTAATTATTTTTAATTATTTAATTATAGTCATAATTAATTAATTAATTATTATTAATTAATATTTATTAATTAATTATAAATTATAATTATTTGATTAATTATGATTAATCTCGATTAATTATAGTTAATCATTATTTAATTATAATTATAATTAATTTACTAAATATAATTAATTAATAATTAATAATTAATTATATATTATAATTAATTAATTATTACAGTAATTAATATTAATTATAATTAATAATTAAAAAAAATGTATGTGCCCGTCGTCCCTTACCTCGACGTCCGAACCGCCGATCCGCCGGTCCACCGGCCCCGAAGGTATAACCCTCTAAACTCAGGCTTTCGTCCTCGATGTGTACGACGGACCGGAAAACCGCCTATACACGCCTTTATTGCGCGTGGTGGGATGGGACCCCGGTCCGACGCCTACGACGAGGCGGACAGTCGCCTCCCGCTCTCTTACCTCGTCATGCGTGGCGAGTCAGTGGTCTACCCATGCACGCTTTTCTTAGCGTGGTGGGAAGGGAACCCGGTGCGATGCATACGACCGAAGTAGGGATGGCCCATAAGTACCCGTTGCGGGGAAAAACCGCTTTTCTCTTGCAACAGGTACCGTAGAAGACCCATAACACGCTTTTCTTTAGCGTGGTGGGGAAAAAGACGTTTACAAATCGGCCGGGTGTCCCTCGAAAAGAAGGGCAACCACCATAACACGCTTTTTCTTGCGTGGTGGGAAAGGCCCAGTTTTCCGTCAATTTTCCCCCTAAACGGGGGAAGACGCCGGGAGGCATGGCCGAAATTTCGGGTGAAAAAATACTACTTACACTCGGGACCTGGTTTTGAACTCAAAAGAACAAAACCTCTGGACCAAATAAGAAAGAGCAGGTGGACCCTTGGAACATGAACATGAACTGTAGACTGTGGACTGTCGAACTTGATTGAATATGTGTAGAGGCGGACAAAATTGAAATGAACTCCTAAAGGTCAAATCCAAAATAAAATCAAGACAGAACTGAGGACCGAAAATTCCAAACAAAATAAAATCAAATTGAACTCAAAAAGACTCCAGAAGAACTCCGAACAATCAGTTGGACATCATTCAGATTCAATTCAAGAGAACTAAGTGTGAAAGGCACCTAAATTGAAACGTAAGACTCAGACTACAGAGGACATAAGAACTTGAGGCTTAGCCATTAAGCTCCATGAACCGATTTAAACCTGATCCTGAAAGGCCTTGAACTTGAGCGCTGGTTTGAGCATCATGCGCCTTCTCACATCCACGCGCAGTCAAAAGCCACCCACCTGAGATTTGGTGAAGGTGGGAAAAGGCAAAATATTGGACAACGACTCCCCTACGAGTATCTGCCCAACGAGCTCGTAGTGGCTGCAACGGTTCCCCTCCAAAATTAAGCACGAGCCACTTGTGGATATACAACAGTGAGACCTCATAAGGCACAACGAATTCACTGTGGACCAAGTACAAACTATCCTCGACATCCTGACGACCGTCGGTTGATTTGAGATGGCGATGCAGGAGACCAAATGATGGAGGAGCCCATTTCTACAAACAAGTATCAACCCAACAACAAACCACCTGAGATTGGTGAAGGTGGTTTTCATGCAAGCAAAAGGTTTCCTACGAATACTACTAGAAGGTCGTAGCGGATACAACCGATCTCCTAGCAAATGATACTTGTGGATAACAACAGTGCATTGTAACATGAATCACTGTGGACACAAGACAGAATATCACCTACGATATTTTGGTGGTCAAGATCTACAAGCTTTCAGGTACAATAGCAACCGAAGTACGAAAAACTCTAACTACACTAAAAGATCTGAAAGGAGATCTTCTCAAAGTGAAGCAAACAATCAGTGACTTCAAGGTCCAAAGAATTCCTTCCCCGGTGAATGAGAAAGGGGGAGTCAAATCAAGTCCAATATCCAAAGTTCCAGAAAGACCCATCCCCGGTGATTGAAGAAAAAGGGGGGAGTCAACATCAAAATCCAACGCCACCGGATCTGCACACTGATACAAGCAGACAGAAGGCGTCTACAATATATAATGCAACGACGGATCTGGGCCAACACTGATACAAGGCAGACAGAAGGCGTCTACAATAATATAATGCAAGCCACCGGATCTGCAACACTGATACAAGCAGACAGAAGGCGTCTACAATATATATCAACGCCACCGGATCTGCAAACACTGATACAAGCAGACATAAAGGCGTCTACAACATTCATATTCGGCCTTCAAGGCCCTTCAACAAAGAAAGTTCATGAACCAAAGGCATGAGCCTAAAAAACCCGATCCTTCTATACGGAATTCAATAGGAGTCGACAGGGTTCGAACTATTAAATAGAATACACGGTTGTAGCGACGTTGTATTTGTTTAAATACATTCCTTTTTAGGCATTCAATGCCTAAATTAAGGAAAATTCATGAACAAAGGACAAAGCCTATGAGAAACCGATCCTGAACAACAGTTTTTGTCGAGTTGAACAAGGTTAAATCAACAAATGGAAATGACCCAAAAACACCCCGATGATGGCCGTTTGAATGCAGATTTCAACCGGAGGGTTTCACAATATATTTCAAAATGCCCTGTAAACATCTACAAGGTTCAAAATATTTTCAAGTGCCTCAGCTACCCGATGATGGCCGTAGGTTGAATGCAAATTCAACCGGAGGGGTTCCCAAATATTTTCAAAATATCCGCCTAAATATCCAAATGTCTTCCAAACTATACCCATAAAATGCCCAAAATCTAAAATCTCAAATCCAGATATTTAAATCTGAAAATCAATCCATCAAAAATATCACTCAAAGCAAAATCCATCCACCTCCGCACAGTCTGCCAGGGGTGGACAAATTCAAATTAAAACTCTAGCTCACAAAGAGCTAATGCCTAGTCGACAATATACTGGATCCATTCTCAAACAATCTCATACCAGTAAGGACGTGGTAGCGTGTCCCTCTAACCGGCGGTCTGCCGCTAATAGCCCACCCGCAAGGAATAAACGGTTACGAGACCACGGGGCCCTCTGAACCCGCGTGGTTTTGCCGCCAAATGGCACCATGATATACCGGTTATGGCCAGAGCCAATACGCTCCTTATTGGCATCAAATCCTTGAGATATGAATCAATAGGATATGATCGATAGGGCACAAATCCCTCTGTAAGCTAAGGTGGATTCAAATTTGTCCCCTTAGATAAACATTCAACCCCGATCTACAAGGTTCCCTTGGACGAAGCAACCCATGGCTGCCGACAAGGATCCTTCTGTCAGGTTGGGTCGACTACCTCCTCTGACTAAGTAGACCAGGGACCACGATGGCCCGGGACGACGGAACCATGGGATCTTGATCGGGCCCATCATCCATTCCCCTACCATACTCTTTAAGTGAAAGATGGTGCAATTTCTACTTTAAATATCAAATCCTTCAAAACCTTTAATCCTTCAATTTCTACCAATACCTAAACCCATTGCTGCTACTATATGCCAGATAACACGTATTCTATACGTATCTGATTGATGACTAGCCTTAATCGAAAGTTCTCTCTCGTGATCGGGAGGGGTAATTAACTATAGGGGCTTGCGCCTATAGGAAACCGGAACTCAGATCATAAAGTCCTCTTAAAATGAGGGCGAAATCTCTGGGTAGTGTCTTATCTACAAACCCATCTGCCTTCCAAAATTTACCCCGGAACATATTTCGTTAAAACTCCCTCGCTGAATAAAAGAAAAGCGAGCGCGGAGGCCGGGGCCGAATTTTCGGAGCCCACATCAGGTTCAAGTCTAACCAAAATATGTACATTTATTTAATTGTTCCTTAAAATATTGCACTCCTTTCTCTATTGCAAATAAAGGGTCCCCTAATGAATAATATATAATAAAGTACCTTCTCTTCCAACGGCTCTTCTGAGATATACCATCTCCTTATCTTGTCAAGCGCAAAGCCACAGAACATAGACTTCACTTCTAAATTATCTCTCATTGGTTGATATTAACTTTCATCAGGTCTTATGTTTTCATATGTGCCCCCTTAACAGGCAAGAGATGAGAAACATCATCATTAATGGCGGCAACTACTTTGCAAGTAAGGAATCCGATTTCAACATTTCATTTCATGAAATCCAAAACTATTTGAAATTTTGCCCAATTTGTTTTGTTATTGTTTTTCCGAGGAACTAATAGGTATGCTACTTTGCAGATAAATTGAGTTCACAAACTAAACTAGATGTTTATAATTGTTTATAGTCATGAGAAATTGGAAGTTTTAAACACCTGATAACAGCCAGCATACAAACTCAACATAAATAAAGAAAAAAAGTTAAAAAAAAAGATGGGTGCTTAAGTCTTGATTCTCTTAATTTGCTACTTATACTGGATCAATCCTAACATATGAAAGTTTTATAAAACAACCACAAAAAATAGGTATATCCACGACAAATGATGATTAAGAAAAAAATTAGCCTTTTTAGTTATAAGATGAATCTGCAAGTTCACTGAATGCCTTAGCACTATCTTGTATATGGAGAAAGGCAATTGATGTTCAAGGATAATTACATATCTAACAAATGGAGACATCCTGAGAGCCTCATAAAGTGGAAATATATAGTTCTATAATTAATAATCATGCTTTAAACAAAACCATTGAAATGCAAAGCTTCCTGGTCGGTTTATAACTTCATTCCAAACATTGATTGAAAAGGCTAGCATAAGAAAACTTGAAATAATACTTACAACAAATGCAGAAATCACGAAGCCACTTGAGTTTACAAACTACAATAATCTTTTCATCCATAGGTAAGCTATAAAAGAAGAGTAAATCTCTCTTTCACCATATTAGTTACAGAAGGCAACAAGATTTACTAGAATGATAAAGCTTATAGATATTAATTATAGAGACATTTCATTATGAATTGTTTCTATAATATAAGAAAAAAATTTTTGTGGTGGGTCACTGAGATGTAAAATTTGATTATTCTCTCACACTCTAAACCTAAACACTAATTATAAACAACAATTGGTGGCTATATACCAACCGTACTATGAATTAACAAGTTTATCATCAAGCGTATTTATCCTATAATGATTAAAAAAGCAACAAGAGAACAAGTAACTTGCCTTCTTCATAATTTTAATTCCCAGATTAACTTCCCATTCTTGTGACCATTTCAATGGCTTTCTTGACTTTTGTTCTCTTTCCCAAGGCCAACCCCATGCATCCGCAATAGTATACATATCTGATACATCAAATATTTTCCTTTCTCTCATTTCTTTAAATGCTTCATGCAAATCCTCTGGGAACCAGTCATCGTCATCATCATTCTACATTTAAATGAGATTATAAATATTTACTTAAATAGAAGGTTAATTCTTACCTTCTTACTTTTTATAACCATACAATACAAATAAAAAAGAATAAAAAAGGACACTGCATATACAATCTAGAATTAACTCATAATACGAAAATTTGAATGCTAATTGAAATATGGAGTTAACTATAACATGAAGGGAAACAAAATATTTCATGTTCATGCAGGTTCCCAAACATAAATAGTTAAATGATAGGAAAATGTAAGGAAAAAACAGTAGATAAACATGAATTGCATGCAAAAAACGAAATCTACAAAGAAGGATACTCCGTAATAGAAACAAAATTAGATCATAAAGCATACCAAATATATTAGAACCCACAAAGAATCAACAATTCAGAGGTATTAGCCTAAGAATAAACTAGACTGACTCGCCTATTTTTTTTGTAATTTAAATATGGTTAACAAAATATTGCAAGCCTTGTTGCTCAGTTAAGCTGACCGTTTCTTTTGAATGATTATGAAAATTGTTCAAAGAGCGGAATATTTTGTTATCATACTCGCTAGAGAACCTGATGGGGACATCGGAGCTTGCAAAGTCTATCAGAGACGTGGCTGTCGATCTATGACCCTGATTGAGTCGATGTACTTTTGAGTCGTATTATGTATTTTTCTTTATTATTTTATGTTGTATTTGTTTTATTAGTGTTTTCATTTTTACCCCTTAAGGGAGGTCGTATGTAAGCCCAGATGACATCGTTGTCGTTTTATTTTCTTGAGTCATTTGTACGAGGCTATATATATCCCTCTTGTTCTCTTTGCATGTTAATGGTTGAATGATAAAATAAATTTCCCATTGCTTGAGTTCTTTGTGAGATCTTGAGTGTTTGAAGAAAGAAATCCCTAGGAGAGAGAAATAGGATCACCCACCAACCTTGGAGACGGCCGTATTCGTGGTTCGTTCTATTATTTCATCTTACCACTTTCCCCCACCCTACACCACCGGCCCACCACCCCTCTAACCATCCAAACTGCCGTCCATATTAGCTCCACTCTCACCTTAGGCTAATTTTCCCAACTCCACCCCATCCGATCCCTCCTTCGATGCCCCCACCACCAACCATGGTCACCACACAAGCCGCCGGCCCCACCCCCCACTTGGCCTCCTCTTCATCATTGCTTACAATTACTCCTTTCCTAATTGGGTTGAATAATTTAGGTAACTAAATAACTTTGCAAAATTCAAATTTATTTGAATTTAAAAAGTTACCTAAAATATCATTCATATTTTAGGAAAGTTCCCAAATCCTTTCCTATTGATTTTAAATTAAATTAGGATGGAATATTTCATCCCAAATTTGATTCCCTAAATTAAGGAAGCATTAAAAGCTTCCTTAAAACCCCTTCCTAGCCCATTAATCCGCCGGCCCCCTCATTAATTCCTTTGGGTTTATTTTCTAAGGCCCATCCCTCCCTTTGGAATTAATTCAAACCTTCATACCCCCTCTTTGGCCGAAATTTCAAAAATCCCCCACCTCCTTATTACTTTCCAAAATTCTTATATTAAGTTTTGGAAACAAATCCCTAAACCCCTCTCTCTTGTCGCCGCCCCTTTCCTCCCAATCATAGAGATTAATTGGAGGATTGTTTGAAACACTTTCCCTCCACCAAAACCTGAACAAAATTAAAGTCGTTCCCTCCTTCCTTGGCTGGCCATCCCCTCCTCCTCTTTACTTCAATTTTGAGAGAAACTTCTTCCTCTCTAGTGGAGCTTCAAGGGATTGGCATTGGTCTCTGGCTACACATCATCCTTCCAAAGCCAATGAATGGCCGATCCGGAGCTTGACTACGGATTTGCTTATGATGAGCAAGGATACGTTAACATCTTCCACTCCACCTTCTTCGATTTCAACCCGAAAGTTGATCGTTCCATCGAAGAGTACGTGGACAGCATTATTTTCACGCTATCAGAGACCATCGAAGAGCAACTTGCCGGCGTCCATTGGCAAATTGTCTCCAGACCTTCTCAAGGGTGAACTTCTTCCCCTTTTCATTTACTTTCTTAATCCCCTAATCTTGTAGGTGGTGACAAGTCACAAGGAGCCGTGCTTCGCCTTATGCCTAAGCTTAGTAAACATAGGATAGAGTGTGCTTTCTATGTTACTATCTTATTGTTAGATTAGAAATTTTTGTTGAAAGCTACTTAATTCACATGTTGTTGAAATTCTAAGTTGTTTTGATAATCCATGTGCTTGGCATGTGATTTGGCCTAAGCGTGGCTATCCCTCTTACATTTTATTTTGTCGTTTTGAATGCTAATAGTTTAAATCATAATTGTTTTTATCAAGAAATCGTGCAAGATCTTATCGCAATCACGGATTTTGGTCCAATCTAGAGAGCCTTAGAGAAGCTAGGAATGAGTATCCCATCACTGATTTGCCATCCATGAAGCGTGAACTTAAGTAGAAGTATTTGCCTCCCTTGTACTTCCCTAGATTGTTGGATAGGTGGAATAGGCTAACTCAGAGCAACAAATCAGTTAAGAAGTGTATCACGTCCTTTGATGACTACGTGATTAGCTGAAAAGGAGAGACCTCTACCACCCCAGTGCAGATCTTGTCTAGGTTTCGTACCAGGGTGTGAGAGGATCTTCACAACGAACTGTTTTCCCGGAACATTACTACTCTTGAGAATGCCTATAACCTAGTGCTAGATTTTGGAGGAGACCCGTTCCTAGCACTCGAGTCGATCCCATGACTCGAGGCCTTCCTATAGATTTTTCGGTAGTTTCACTCCTCACACTCCTACTGCCTGACCAGCCCAAGGAGTACTACCCGACCACCCACTATTCCTCCTGCACCTCGATCTGATTTTAGGAGTAAACCTCCCACCCCAGATACCCCTCGGTCCAGTCCCGAGACCAAGTGCTTTCGATGATAGGGGTATGGGCATATCACTTCTCAGTGCTCTAGTCCCTATAAAGTATCAATCATCGAGAAAATCACAGAGGACGATCTCGAGCTTGAGGTTGATCAGATCCACCAAGTCGAGGATGAAGGCGAATTCTTCGAGGAGGATGATGACACTATTGTCCTCCATTGCCTTCAAAAACTGAACACCTCTCCCATCTGCATGGTGAGATGCGCACTATGACACCCTACTCCCACTAATGACTGGCATAGGACGACAATTTTTCATACCTACACCAAAATCAAGGATAAGAACTGTAAAGTCATCGTGGATAGTGGTAGCTGCATAAATGCTGTATCCTCCAACATGGTGTCCAAGTTGGATCTTTCTGCCGTTCGTCACCCCAACCCATATAAGGTAGCATGGGTCAACTCCACTGCCTTGGAGATGAAAGAACGAAGCATCATACCTATCTCCTTTGCTGACTACATGGAGAATGTTTGGTTCGATGTGTTGATTATGGATGTTTGACAAATCCTTCTGGGTCGCACCTGGATTTTTGATAACGATGTCCACATCTATGGATGTTCAAACATCTGCATGATTGAACATGCGGCCAAAAAGATTAAGCTTTTTTCATCGCAGCCCCAGGTTAAGTATGACTCCAAATCCAACCTTATTAAGTCCAAGAAAGGACTGAACCTGGTCACCGGCAAGGTTCTCGATTCTAAGATAGCTCAAGATGCACCACTATACTCCTTAGTCGGTCGTGACATTCCCGTTGAATCTGATGACCCTATTCCTCAGGAAGTCCACCCCATTCTGGGAAAATTTGCTGATGATCTCCCAGATCAGTTACCCCCACTTAGAGACATTTATCATGCCATAGAATTCGTCCCTGGAGCCTCCCTTCATAATCTTCCACACTATTGCATGAAACCAACAAAACATGCTGAACTTAAGAAACAGGTAGATGAGTTACTGCAGTGATGTTTCATTAAGGAAAGTCTTAGTCCCTGTACGGTGCCAGCCCATCTTACTCCTAAGAATTACAGATCTTGGCGAATATGTGTTGATAGCCATGCTATCAACAAAATCACTCTCAAATATCATTTCCCTATTCCGAGGTTGGACGATATGCTCGATATGATGACGGGGGCCACTCTATTCTCCAAGATTAATTTCAAGAGTGAATACCACCAAATCCGGATCCGACCTGGAGATGAGTGGAAAATTGCCTTCAAAATCAAGGATGGTCTCTACGAGTGGTGAGTCATGCCATTCGGGTTGATAATGCCCTGAGTAATTTCATGAGGATCATGACTTAAGTGTTGTACCCTTATCGGAAAGTTGTCGTTGTCTACTTTGACAGCATTCTTATTTATAATCAGTCGGCGAGTCAGTACTTAGACCACTTATGGCAAGTTTGTGAGGTCTTATGGAAGGAACAACTTTATGCCAATCCTAAGAAATGTACCTTCATTGTAGATCGTGTTATCTTTTTGTGATTCATCATGTCAGCCCAAGGGGTCTCTGTAGATCCCGAGAATGTGAGAACTATTGTTGAATGGCCTGTTCCTCAGAACATCTGGGAAGTCCACAGCTTCCATAGACTAGCGACCTTCTATAGGAGATTTATCCAAAATTTCAGCACCATTGTATCTCCTATCACCGACTATCTGAAGAAGGGTGGTTTTCACTGGACCCTGGCAGCCACTAGAGCTTTTGATGAGATTAAGAAAAGAATGGTGGAAGCCCCAATGATGAGACTTCCTGATTTTCCAGTCTTCGAAGTGACCTGCGATGCTTCGGGGGTTGGAATTGGAGGAGTCTAATCCCAGGAAGGTCACCTAGTAGCTTACCTAAGTGAGAAACTAAATGACATTCGACAGCGATATTCCACATATGACAAAAAGTTTTACACTGTGATCCAATCTCTTCGTTATTGGCGCACTACTTGCTCCCACAGAGTTCGTCATCTTCTCGTATCACGAGGCTATGTGTTATATCTGTCACGACCCAACCCGACCGGGACGGATCCCGCTCGTATCGGGTCGTGGCCATACTCAAACATACTGAACTGATTCCAGGATCTAGCTTTGG